AAAATCTACTGTCCAAATTTTGAAAACCAATCTGAGAAACAAAGATTTTAGCCAGGTAGTAAATATTTCATGTAGGTCTAATATCAACTGATAAAATAACATCCTATGTATATATCAAATAATTTCTTCTTTAGAGATTTTTAGGAGTATAAACTTGATCGGATGACAAGATAGATGACGCACTCAATTGTATCAAAGGTCAAGTGCATCTAGGTTATGAATAATCAAAGTAATATGTAGGCCTTTTTCATTCAGCAAAAAATTATGATGGTTAAGTAGAAATACAAAAAATTGACGTATCTGAGTGATTTGACTATTTCTATTTTTAATAAAAGCCTAGAGACATGTATTAATTGTTTTAATCTTTGTCCATACTCTTTTTCATCTTAGATGTGTGAAAGATATGTCAGCCCTGACATATCTCTTTGCCTGTGCCTCATCAGCACCCTCAACGTTTCAAATCTGCTGATCGGTCCAGAGTACCAATGGCCACTAAGACCGATGTGCCCTGGCTAAATGACATTGGTTTTGAGTTTAGATGAGGTAAGCATGGGCAAATGAATTCAACAATGTTACCTGCTTCTATTTAAGTATACTTCAAAACTATCAGCCCTTCTTGGACAAAAAATAGTCGTCGATTGTAATCGCAAATATATATCTCCCTCATCGACAATCCTACTGTGTGATTTGGGAGAGGCATGAATTACCTTAAAGATCACATCTGCCCTTTGAGGCACTGACAACCAAAGCTGAGGCAGTGGCAGTGTCGCCATGGTAAGCATAATCCGGTGTAAAGTAAATAATAACATTTTTCGAGTGAAATTTTGTGGCCTTATGAGGCCTGAAATGGTCAAAGTCCAATTTGATGAGTCATACCTCGGGATTTGTCCTGAGAATTCATGAAAATAATAATAGTATGAAGAACATAGTGTCAAATTCATATATATATATATATATATCAGAAGATATACAAAGCTAATAGGTTGTTGAAGGTAGGAAGGATAGGATGGAAAGATGGAGCTGAACTGGGATAACCCAAAGTGATTATTGCATCGTGAAGCCCATTCATAGCAGAGATTAAGTGGAAATTAAGCAATAATATGAAGAGAATCTCCAATTAAGATATAAAATGAAAAGTAAGGTGATCCGGAAGATAAGAAACGATGGAAGAAAATTCCAAACAACCCGAATTATATATGCCTACTTGTGAAGGAAAACTGGGTTTCGAAAATTTCCCTGGTGAAAAAGTGTGACTCGGCCTTTCATTTCAAAGGAAAAGATGAGTAATTTTTCCTATCTCTAAGAGTGTCAGACTAAGCATGATGTAACCAACCAGATTAAGGGATGCTTTCTCAACCTCGCAAAATTTGATAGAAGAAGTAAGTAGATTTGCCACAAGCCACCTGCTCATTTGTCTTAACGTATTATTGCACTTTTTCATAAAGTTTCTCGCTTTGACAATGTATATCTCGATAGGACAGGTAAAAGCTTGGCATTGCAGCCATTAATCGAGGTCGTAGAACGATGAGCTGAGAACCCCTTTGCCAAATTCGACAGTCTCAATTAAGAGACAATCCGCCTTTAATTTCCAATGAGACCTTTTCACGAATACCTTCCAACCAAATATTCCTTCGAAATGTAATTAGAGTCACATTATACGCCTATTTTACAATTAGTAATCGTTACACGAACAAGCACACGCGCAGTGCACACGCGTATGACACACACACATACACACACACACACACACACGCACACACACATAAACTGACGTCTGACGAGAAGTTCCCGTTGATAAAATGCTAGTGAAGGAAATAACAGCCATGAGATACCATATACTCGACGAACATCTTCAAGATTTTATCAGGGATATGTGAAAGTTTGCAAAATAAATCGACTAGTGTGCCTAAAAATAAACCTCTAGCGTAAAAAAATAAAATAATCTTGTAATACATGTTAGTAACCCTTCATCTGGCCTACTGGCAGAAAAAAAATTCATGTGTCCAAAAGAGTTCAGGGATGCCAAGAATTCAAGCGAGTCAGACGTGAAATCGGACCTAGTCTGATCTACTATCGAGACGAAAAGTGCAAGAGAATATGTAAAAAAATAGATTCTATTACCAACCAGTCAAGTGTCCGCATCACATGCACGCAGAAGAGTAAAGACTAGGCAAAATGGGAAGAAAAGAATCTAGAAACAGCAATTTATAAGGTCTGTGGACTAGATTGAGGACAGGCAGGATAACAGCCCTGGGAATGCAATTACTGCATATTTTGCAGTGAAAGCTATTGAAAAAGGCAAATATTGCAAATCTAGAGGCATTTGTTAAATCATAACAATATTGTAGATGTGGTCAAACAGAAAGAGAAGGAGAGTTAATCACGAATCCAAAGTACATGACAAATTGTTTAAAATTAATCAACAAATTTAGACGCATGCGGGGCAGGCCGAAAGACAGAATTCAAGGTGTTTCTCCTCCCGCCTGCTCGGACGGGCTATTTCCTCTTTCTACTCGTGCGTCCGTCTTCATCCGGCCCGCTTGTGTGTGTGTGTGTGTGTGTGTGTGCGTGCGTTGTGTATGTATATGTCCGCCACTCAAAGGGGTAAATACTATTTGTTGTCCTTAAACTTGACAAGCCTTCAGGAGATCATCAGACAATATGGCTTCAGCCCACTCTTTGTCCCAGTTAACGGACAAATTGGAGTAAAACTGCGTCAGACCATCGATTTTCCTGCAAGGAAGGAATCATGGGGCCAGACGACCGAGAAGCGAATGGAATGCTCTCGAAAAGGCCGCTGTGTCTGTTTATACACTTGCTCACTTGCTTGTCTCTCTTTATGTCTGCCTGCCTGTGTGCGTGCATGCATGCGTGTCTACTTGTGGGTCTGCATGCGTATTTACGTGCTTCCACGTAGTATGCATAAAGCTTGCCTGAAACTGGGAATGCAGTGACGAGGACAAGGCCAGCGGCAGGAAAGAGTGAGCAGGAGAGAAAATAACAACGGGAAAGCAAAGGATAGATTGATGGCCAATGATGGCTAAAAGTACAGATTGTGGTCAGTGGAGAGCGAAAATCCATTCGGTCAAGGTCAGACATACCAATCGGTGACCTTGACGATGGCAGATCCATCGGCCGGTGTGTTCAAGGTCTGTACACCGACGACGATGCCGCGACTCGGAGATGAGTTCGAGTCTTTAATGAGCGCTAAAAGTTGGGAGCAAAGCCCTAATTAATGAGTTTTGGCTCCCGACTTTATCGATCATCGGTGAAAAATTGAGGGCGATGGAGTCTTATATGAGAGCTTACTTGTATTTCGAGTGAATGTTTGGTGAAGAGATTAGAAGGTAGATCCCACCAGAATACGGCGGATTCCTCTTGACCTGCTGTCGATTGGATTTACTGGAACTGTTGTCAACGCTGTTTCCGAGTCAGATTCCGGCGAAAACGTGATAAGATTTCGTCCGTCGTATGACGAACATCAGGTTATCTTCTTTACTACTGAATCCAATGTAAGTAGAGTTTCATTTCTACCAGTAAAGTAGTCGGTTGTTATAGAAAAAATACGTTTGCTTCATCGAAAATCCCACCAAAGAATGCGAT